ATTAATACATTTCATATTTCTTGCTTAAAATAAATTATATTTTAAGTCAGTTTAAGTCAGGTTTACCAAAGTGACATCCTATGAGGTTGATCTTGAAGAGCTTTTTTATTATTAGTCCCCTCCAGTCTGTCTTGATTAGAATGTAACAGTAAGTAGGTTCACTGAGTCGGATCAACTAAACAGGAGGAATATTGAAAAGTGGCCCAAATACCCTGTAACTCAATAGTCAGTTTTTCATTTTTTTTTCTTTACTGGACTGGTTAGACAGACAAATATACACACAATCTTCACATTAGGGTTTTGAAGTGGTTTTAATTTACCTTCATTAAGACCAGAAACCACATGGCACATGACCAGCACATGTCCCAGTGGGCGGTGGATTCAAACTGTATCTGCCATTACTACTAAAACAAAAGTCTTTATGATTAGTGTCTGGTCCTACCCATATCCTTCCTTTTTGTCACTGGACCAACCTTTTCCTTCCCTCCAAAAAGGACTAAATCTTGGATGGTTCACCTCATACAGGGACATGTATCCAAAGATAAGATATTTCCATTCCTCTTAATATCCTTTTAAAGGAAACATGGTTTTATCCTTCTAAATTTGTTTTTATCTGAAACATTTAACTCATATTCACCAATGCGGATAAATACTATATCCATCCCTATGAACACCAAGTACAACTAAAAGAATCTAATTTACTATCACAAGAATCAAAAACCAAAGTAGCACTTTCCTAGTCATTCATGCCATGTAAATAAAAGAGATTATAATCTAGAATCTTGTAGCTTTGTCATTAGTCTCGAAATAGGGTGGGGGAACAGGAAACCTGTTAGGGCGTTTTTTGCAGAACCCACCTTATGCCATGCTAATTATCAGTTTATTCAGTTACTTCAGATGTATATGTTAAAACCAAAAAACAAACGCTTAGGCACGGTCAGCTCACGACTCCTATCTTCCAATCCAGTAACGGTTAACATAAACTGATCTTGGCATAACCGAGCTATTTCGAACAATAAAATATTATTATGCTTGTATAATAAATTTATTGGGAGGAATAGGAATCTTGAGCTGGCCGCATAATTGTCATAAAGGGCTAATAAACTAGGCCCTCTTACCCCGCGGGAATAGTCACGTGACTTACCACTGGCCATCGGAAAGGCCATCTGGTAAACAGAACAGACAGAAAGAAGCCTCCGCCATTGCAACAGAAGCGAACACACAGCGTCGCCTTTAGAACAACTACGTAGCTTATTGCACACAAACAGAACTGGTAAGTACAATTTACAATTCTACCCTTCCATCCAACCCCAACTCCTCCGGGCGTTTTTTGCAGAACCCACCTTATGCCATGCTAATTATCAGTTTATTCAGTTACTTCAGATGTATATGTTAAAACCAAAAAACAAACGCTTAGGCACGGTCAGCTCACGACTCCTATCTTCCAATCCAGTAACGGTTAACATAAACTGATCTTGGCATAACCGAGCTATTTCGAACAATAAACTACAGTTAGTTTGATCTCTATCCAGTTGACTTCGTTATTTTAAGACACTCACTGCTAAACTAAAACTGACCTCCAAGAGATACTTGGCCAAAACTTGGCCACTTCAATCACATTTCACCTATTGCGTGTTACCATAACAGAAAATGCCAGATAACACCCCTACCCCACTGACTTTGTGATCTAAACAGCAAGTGTCCCTGCCAGACAGCCCACCAAGATACTGGACTTACCTCTAAAAACTGGAGAGGCAGATAAAGAGCAGACTTTCAACTCACCTGTTGGCTTCTGTCTGTTGCCACAGGATATTAGGTGTACTTTGTTGCACAGAGCACCCATCTGATTCAGCAGCAAGCTTCACCTATCTGAATCATGTTCCAACTCCTGCCCACGTGAAACCCAATACAACAGGGCTGACTATTTGTTGTTGATGTATTGCCACACAGCATGTGTGTATATAGGATATACATAGCACATTTGAAGATCACAGTAGTAAATAAGCAGGACTTTAAAAATGATCAATATTCATATGGGCCAGTTAACACAACTTCTAGATTCAGTTGCCCACGCTTCAGCTATTCTCCAGAAACACAATGAAGTCACACAGGAGATAAGATAGGAAACGAGCACATCTGCAAATCCAATAGGAAGCATAACCCCATGTTTTGTTACAGGCTTCACTACACAAATGTCCTAACACATCAGATAATGGGAATGGAAACATGCCAGTGCATCTTTCTAACTCATCAATATTTTTTACTGTGATTTTTTTGCAGTTTTCCCAGCATGAAGATCTATATGTGCTGTAGCACACTGTCTGGGCTCTTTTCTAACCTGTTCTGATACTGGGTGAAAGCCAAATGTCAGCACATGCAGTTATTTCAACCTCAAGCTCGGAATCTTGGTGAAGACGCCCCCTCTCCTTCTTGCCCTTCAAGAGATATTTTGAATAAAATCACACAACATTCTTGAAAGAACTCCCATCTAAAACTTTTAAGGCACTCGACTCAAGTGTTTTCCCCTTTCATTTATACTCCGAATGGTTATTGTTGTGCAACAATGCACTACTGTGACCCAAACCTTATAATCCTTTGAAGCAGTTTTTTATCCCAAAAAATATGATCCTCTCTAAAATATGGCCCATCTCCTGACAAGTCAAAGAAAAACATCCTAGTTTGCTGGTCGTATGATATTGATCCTTCTCCTCCCAGTGCTATGCAGCTATCACACAGGTCATGGTGTGATATAAGATGATATCAGTCATTTACTTACAAATGATGCATCTTTTCATGCCCTGCAGCTACCAACAGTCACAGATGCACAGTTCTGTAGCCAGTGAAGATGAAATCCTTCTTGATAATTAGGATAGTGAATATAATTGCCTGTCGTGAGAAGTAATTAATATAACATGCAAATCTTTCATAATTTCCATAAGCATGGGCTTTGACTAAACATTTGTATGAAAATCACTTTTCTTTTGACCGAGTTATAAATATTGGATTAAAGGGAAAATTTAACAAAAAGTATGTGATGTATTATAGTTTAAAGGTACTTAATGTATAATGGTATTACATATTATGAAAGATTCAATGAGAAATCTGATAAGTGATTAAACTTATTAAAATATATTTTGCCATTAACTCATTCTGTCACCTATATGACCGAATATTCCAGTTCCACATCAGCCAACCCTGTCCTACCCAGTGAACTTTGTATCTGAACAAACCCAGGTCATCACTGAGAGCCAGGATGGGAGAACTAATCAATGGCACAGACGTATAATTACCCCGAACAACATGACACTAACCAATCTTCTGTCCAGGTTCTAATTTCCAAGGGGGAAAAGGACAGTTTTTCAGCAGCCCTAGGTATTGCTATTGTCACAACCTGTGTTTATTTCTTCAAGACATGTTACATTATTTACAAAAAAAAAAAAAAAAAAAAGCAGAGAGAAACCATCCCTAACTTCTGGGAATCTAGATATAGCAGGGCTGATTAGATCTCTATAAAAACTCATGAAAAAGCCATAAATATCCCCACTATCAGACAGTGTTCATTGTATAACATGGCTGTTTTACTCCTGCCCTTACACACACCCAAAATCAGGTGTATAGTTAGTCTGCCCCCAGGAACAACAGCTGTTCTAATGGTTACCGACCTTTTCTCTAATTCCGAGTCTTTTACTCTTACCTCCTTTTTCTACAAATTATGTTTGATGTATATTAGATTGCAAGCTCAGACTGGAAAAGTCAATCTTTACCAGGTTTCCCACCAATTGCTTTTGCTGGTTGTCCCACTCAAGGAGAAGGCAATAGGATTTTTTTTTTAATTTCTGGACTTGAACCAAATCTTGGAAAGTGGATTTACTCTAGTGTACTATACCCAGCCTCTCAGAAATTCAATTGACTGCTGAATAGTGTACAGCACTAACAGTCTGTTTAATGTTACATCAACAAAATCTGGCTGTAGTTTTTCGCATTAGATGTCTGCATCATCATGACGCTGTTCTCCTTATAAGCATATGCAGTATAAATCATATATCAACCTGGCCCAATTGAGCCTAGAGAAAAATAGACATATCTCATACATAAAATAAATTTTATGTTCAGAGAATATAGTACTATCTACTGCAACTGGTTTGCACAGACAGACAACCTGCATGCCATTTAATAATCAGAGAGCCTTAACTAAACTGCACTGCATTGCAATTCCACGAGCTGCCGGTGTAATTATGTGTGCAACATCCAACATTAACATTTGATATAATTATATACATGTAGATACTCCTTAAAAGTTTCATCAAAAGGAGGTGCTATATCAACGTAAAAACAGTACTTTATAAAAACCATAAATATAGTAATTATAAGCTCCAGACATCAGCAATAAAATAAGTTATTCGTATTTCTCTACACAAATAGGAAAGGATCATTGAATTTAGTGCAAAATGATAACAATTTGCCAACAGTTCATGTTTTCCCCATGGGCACATGACTACAGGCCGGTAACACAGCATGTACTTCCCAAAAAGCAGCATGTTATCTTTAAGTACCTACCCACCCATTTACAGGAAAAAAAAACAAAAAAACAAAGCAAACTTTCTGAAAGTATATTTCTATCCATATTCTGGGTAATTTCACATCAGCCCAGGACTGCTTCATATACAAATATTGACCCCCACACATATATTTTTTTCATAAAATACATGTAGCATGTCTTGTGAAATTAAGTACTTACCGCATATAACTGATAATGTAAATCCAGGAAATGGTAAACTCATCTAAATGAAATGTACTTAATAAATTATTCCAGGTAATACTTGACTATATGTCTCCTAGCTGTGAGAGACTAGTACAAATGAAGTCAACCTAAGATAACAGTACACTTGTCTGTGTATGTCTGTGAGCTGACTTCCCATCAGAACACCTATCCAGGTAGGGTGTAATCATAATTACCCAATGCATGTGTTTCTAAGAAAACTGCCCAGAGTCAGACTTACCATCTGTGAGGATGTCCTGGGCTTCTGCTTGATGTCCTGCACCTTCTGATTGGCTGAAAGGAGAGCAAAAATATGTTAGATGATCCATGGTTGGCTGACAAGGATATTGAACCTGGTTCACATAAAGATCCCACTGAACCTTGCTGGCATGAGTGTGTGTCTGTTCAGATGCAGAAAAAATATACACTATATTACTCACTTGCCACTGCTTGTTTACTTTATGAAGTGTGTGCCCTGCAGGGATGAGATTTGTGCAATATGAGGATGGATATATGTATGTGTAGAGATGATATCAAACATGACAAGAGCATGCACATAAAAACCAGTTAGATCATTTTAATGATTCATTTCTATGTGAACAATCTAAATTTCCCAGATTTCAGAGTCCCCATTACATTGCAGTGATGAGTTGCCATATACACTTAAATTGCGATTTGGCATTTTTTCAGCTTAGATAGGATGAACAAGACAAAGTCAGCTCTTTACATCTAACATATAAAAGCCATAGAAATTTGCCAAGTTTCATACAGTGTTAACTAGGAAAAGTTACCAGCATTTTCCTTTGAAGATCATCAGAAAACACATCAGCAGCTTGTTATTTGTAAATTTGTCTCCAGACTTTTTATTCATGTGCTTATATAGATATGCTGAACATGTGGGTGCCAAAATACGTAGCACGCATTGTCATGGAATTGTTTTAAGATGGTTTAAAAACAAGTAAAATCTATGTAATTTCTGTTCTTCTTGTTATGTGATAATCAAAAGAAAAAGTTTTAGAGCAGTAATGCTCCGTGTAATCTTGGAAACAACATCTTTAACGACACAAACAACCCTATTGTCCCATGTACATATTATAGATTTCCATATTCTTTGATGCAGCAAGTTGATTTCATTCAATAACATAAAAAGAAAAAAAAGAAAACATGATGTCATCTTATGCCTCAATACTGTCAGTCTAACAGTAGATATAAACCATGCTGACAAGCCCACCATGCTTTCATCAAAGGTACAGACCCTTCAAGGTGCTTGTGGTTTGATCAAATTCAAGAGCAGCTTTTGCTGTCACATCTCATTGGTGAATAAAACATCTTTGCCCTACACTAGGTGTGAACTGTATGATCAATTTGCCTCAATCATTTATAAGTTGAAAGTCAAGTCAGCTCCCTCTTTAGTGAGATAAAATAACACACCAGGGACATCACTTCAGAACTAATTCTATTATTAGGTAAGACCCTACCTTTCAGAACCAGTCAATCAAATGCTTTGCAAAGAGTACCAACATGTCAAATGTTTTCTCCATCCTACAAATGCCATTTTTACAGTTGGTATCAAAAGTACTAATCCCTGCCTATCACAAAAAAATTACATTAATGTTAAATGTACCCATTAAGTTTGTAACAAATAATTAATGCCTCTTAACCCAAGCCCTTTTCTGCTGCATCATTTAGCAGTTTGACCTTTCAGTAGCCACAGGCATTTGGGCAATGCAAATATATTTTAGTTAATTTTCTGAAAGTTTCCTTGGTGTAAGACTATTACATTTCACAACACTGGGCAAGCAAGCAGTCCATTTTAAAGTGTTGGCCAAATTTGGTTAGGTTTCCCTAAAGTAACTAAAGATCTAGGGTATCATTGTGTCACCAACATTTCTGGTGTACCTATGGGTCTGAGCTTCTGTATCAAAATTAAGGCATATTTTACCAAGACACAAGAAGCACAGGAAACAAAAAGGTGAACATGCTAACAAAAATATTTTTCAATCGTCTCGAAATTAATTACTTTTTTTTAAATCTGAAAAAAGAGCTGACATTACACTGTGAATGTACCAGATGTATATTCACCGATTATTTTTGCCAGATTTTTTTCAGTGCCAGCAATTTTATATCCCCTTGAGGATTAAGAAAACATGCCCTTGTATGATGATTCATTGCAGTCAGAGAGTAGATTTCTGTTTTCAGATGTGTATTGATAACTGTGTCATTAATCAGTCCATAGTCTTTTAATACTTTAACATTGCATATTAAAGCCAGCTATTGATTAAGATAAAGAACTTGACTGAGAAATGCATTTTCCAGTTAATCAAGCAGTTTTGTTTTTGTGGCTTTAGCATTTTAATAGCAAATACTAAGCCGCTTATCAGCAGCCTGCAACAACTTGGAAAAGTCTTTTATAAACTGATAGAGATGAAGAGATTGAACAAATGTTTCCTTAGGGAAAAGGTAGATAAGTTAGTCTTATTACCTGCTCCTAGAAGTTAATATTTTGTCTCCTGTATTTGCTTATAAATGTTTTTGCCTGTGATAAGATCGACTCAAACAACAATATAAAGTTTTTTCTGATTTATCAAGGAAGTAATTAAGTAATTAGAAAAAACGTGTAATAGATTATATGGGAGGGGGGTGGGAAACCAAGAAGTGCTGATGTTTCTCTATTTGGACTCTTCTCTGACAAATCTCTGTCTCAATTCAACCATCCAAAAAGCCAGCAAAGAAACAGCATGGTAAGGGAATGCATTATTGAAGAGCATCAAGTTGAGTAGCTCCTCTAATCAGTCTGACAGCCCTGTCAATACCCCTTGACTAATGGACCATCCTGACAGATAGAGGATTTCAAAAGTTTACATCTCTTAAGGCTCTTAAACAATGAATCATCATCACAGAAACAGGGGATTAAACATCAATTCCCCCCCTCAGAGGCAAAAGGATTAATATTTTTTTTTTGTAAACCCATGAAAAAACAGATCATTTTCTTCTTAAATCAACGTATCAGGTTATGGGATCATACTTCAAAATGTTCAACATAATGGGTTATCATGAGATACCAAACTTGGGATTGTGGGTGAAAAAAATACCCTCTGCTAATAGATCATCTACTGCTAAAATCAACATATCATATCCAGATTTGTTTTTAGACCAACATACCAACCTACAGTATTAAATCTCGAACCTGCCAATAAAGAGGTTGTGCAATCAGCTGTAAAAATAGAGAAAAAACAAAGCACATGTTTTGCGACCAGGTCTGATCAAAGCAACGTTAAGTCATGTGAGCAAAAAGCAACACGGCAAAGACGGTTGGTGTTTTCACAGGTCTTCTGATGTAACCTTCAAAATATGAGCAACTGATGGGGTAGCTTTGTGAATCTTTTATCAACATCACTGGTTCATTTTTGATTCCAACAGAGTGATACATTGTGGTTAACCACTGTTAAAGACAATTTTTGTGGTGATTTTATGGTACTGGGAAATATTTCTCTAGTAAGAAGGAGAGTGAATGTTCCTACAGTTGATAACATGGGAAAAAAACAACTAAAATTTTTAAGAACATCCCAGTGACAATTCTGACACTACATGTATCGGGACATTTGTAAATTTTCAAATATTAGTGAGAAAGGAAGGATTCTGTTAGAACAGCTGTCCTCACCTCAAATGCCACTTCCTCTCTTAAATACAGTATTACATTTTTCAGGTAAAATCTTCAAACCTGGCATCGCCTTGCCCCTGCACGAGTTTTTATAAGGTAAAACCTTTATAAGAACTGTTTCCCAATCAAGCAAGAGAAACAAGCAGCAAGCCCAAGCAGCTGACAGACTGCCAGAAGCCCCAGCCGTTTACACCTACTTATATTTAAAGTCACATAAAATTACAATCAAAGGCTATCCAAGACACCTTACTTAGTTGCCCAACAGAGCCTGCATCCTGTGCGGAGACTACCTCGCATTATGCTTTGGAAAACAGTTGAGCAGAAATTGAATGTTCAAAGCTCAAATTGTGTTACAACTTGAGAAGTTGTAGTTCAGAAAATAAACTTGAGGACAAACAGATGTTTATATCTGGCAGTTACTACTGGTCTTTTAATAGAAAATCCCCCACCATTTTGACTTCCTTTACACCTCCAGGGGTCATACACATGCCAGTATAGCTGTACATCCTGGTACAGAGACTTGTATTGTGGCACTGAGGTAAAGCACAGGTCCCCAACATCCATTTTCTCCAAGATCAAAAGCAAAATAGCTTCACTATTTTATTTTCTTCAACAGACACATCTTGTAAAATTATTAGTAAGACTATTATACTAATACAAATATATACACCTGCTTCTCAGCAACCACAATCTAGACTGTGCAACACTCAGGAAGAACACCTTTAAAAGCTTTCTTGTAGGTTTGCTCCATAAAAATGTAGTCTGATGCAAATTTGTTAAAAAATCAGCTTGCTTCAAAAGTGTGTCTGGTAACTGGTCTTTAAATCACAAACACTTACTTTTTAACAACAAAAAAATGCATGGAAAAGCCAATTTTAGGTATTCTTGTCTCTAAAAACAAATTACAATAAACAAATAAGTCTACTTTTTGTTATGTGAAACAAATTTTCTATCTAAAACAGGTGCCATACAAAAATAGAAATCAAATAAAACAATGCTTTTCTTGGCACATGTTTGGAGTTACAAATAGAATTCAGTATCCCCATATACCCCTTTTACAAACAATTGAAAGGAAGTCTTAAAACAATGTGCTCGCTTGAAGAGAAACATACAACATGTATTACCCAGAGAACTTAAAACACCTGCAGCTACTGTATTACAGGGGGTTTATAAAGTCTGTGGACATTGATAATTCTTTTTGCCAATGTGATTCCCATTGTTTTCTTCTAAATAATGTAATGGTAGTGCTCCAAGGAGGTCCTCTACCACTGTTCATAGATTGCCCATACTGTTTTCACTCTAATTTACCCAACTGTATTACAGCATATTAGAGAAGTTTCTTTCTGGTCCGCAGCAAACTCATTAGAGCTGTAATCACACAGCCAATTAACCATGTTTAGACAAGTAATCAGTGACAGTCTGGGGGATTTGATGTCTTAATCATTTAAGCTCCAAGCATGCTGAGTAATATCCCTCCTAATGTCTCTTACGTCCATTTTCAATACCTTACAAGGAATACAATTATACTCCACTATCACAATCCTGGTTATAATTTTACCCTCAATTTAACTTAAGTTCTGCTCTATGCCATAGAGAGGTAAGGTAGCTTGCAATTAATGAAAGTGGGGAAAATGATCAAATCTTTTATTTCTGATCAGAAAAAGTCTTCATATTATTTATTGTGTGTCTCTCCATTAAAATGCTGAAAAAGCCAACTGTATGCTGTTACCTTTCAAATGGGTTTTTAATTCCCTTTCCATCAATATTTTCATTGATCACTGTCATTGAGATACCAAAGCAATGCACATATTAACTTTGCACCATACATACATAGCTCATGCCCTCATTCATAATTCCTTTAAAAATCATAGTACATATAGATATATAGAGAGAAGTGGCATACTGTATTTTGCCAGTTGAGAATGGGGCTACAGCAACTGACACACCATGCAGGGCTGACCATGCCAAGATTTATAGCTGAGTGCTGCTACTTATGGCCAGGAAAACTACCATGTTCAAGAAAAGTGGTGGGTGGGTCCAGACAATCATGAGGCCAGATGATGGACTCAGCCTGTCCGATTACAGGGTGTATCGGTCATACTCCTTTCCTCTCTTTTTATTTCATAGACAATTTTTTCATGTGGTTTAAAAGTTTCATTTACTGTCTACTAAAATGATGTTGTTTTTTATGCACGTGCATGTACCGGTGTGTAGAATGAGTGTGCATGTGCATATATTGTATCAATAAATGAATATATGTAGGATGGATTTTTACCACCAAATATTTTATCTTTACTGAATGTGATTGCAACTGATGCAATGAAGCATGAAAAATAGGGCAGCATTGAGCAAGAAACAAAAGTGGCAACAACTTCTTACATTCTGGCAAATGATATATCCTAAACCTGCATGTATACCTCCAAAATAAATGACCAATCATCCTAGTCAAGGGTTAAATGTAATTTTACAGAGCAAAAAAGATCTCCTGGTCACCCTACACAAAAGTTACTCATTTAAGTTCTACTTACTGACAGCTTCAATAACATCAGCCAACAGAACCCCATCAGTAATGTCATGCTGCAGGTCAGTGATGAGGCGCTTCTGCTTGTTCTTCTCTAGGTAATGATTGGCCCAGTCTGTGTAGATCTGAAATAGGAAATGACAATTTTTTTATTACCTTAAAACCCACATATTACAACTATCTCAAAAGATGCTGAATTCCTAGTAATAAACTATATGTTATTTTATAAAAGGACTTTGACCACATTCAGATTCAAACATTGTACCAGCTGGATCAACCCAACTCTGCAGGGGAATCTCGCTAAAGTGCATTCAGTGTAATTATCCTAATTGTCTGACACGCCTCCTTAGTTAATTACCCCCTTGCAACTCGGTGGAGGCATGTCAGATATATAACCCAATTATAGTTATTGCACTTTGGGAGAATCTCCCATGGAGTTGGATTGATCCAGCTAGTATGATGGGTTTATCTGAATGCTCCCTATCAGTTGCCTTGCATAGCTCTGAAATACACATGGGTATAAGCTTCTTTTATAGACATCTACTTTAAGGAAACATCAGTTTGCAGACAAATGTGCTCTACAATATTTATCTTACAGCAAACCACAATCTTTTCTGTCCAGAATAAAGACACTCTCTAGACTCACTAAATATATTTTGTCCTCACTGAATGTGCCTAGTCTGTCACATCATTTTTCTCTCAGACAATGTCACATACTCCTGTGTTTGTCATCAAGTTAAACTTTCTCACACTTTGTACACATGATGACTAATAATTATTATATTTGCCAAAAATAAATGAGTAATATGTAATGAAATGATTGTCAATGGAAATATATTGTCTTTACATAGTTGCGACACCAATTCACTTCATTACAAAACGGCCTGATTCTTCTCTTGATGCTTACAAAGTTTGATAAGGGTTTGATACAGTTTCCCTTGAGTATAAAATAAATACGGCTGTTGTCATACAGAGATTAAAATGCACCATGACCAATACCATGCGGTATGGCCAATAAGTAAGACAGATATTAAAATATAACCATCTTATCAAAAAATATACCATTTTTACCACAGGTAACAGTCTTTGTGAACACTGTGGACTGGACTCATCATGTCATAAAGCCATTACTAAACACACACTTTACAGGATACCCTGGCTCCTGAATGCCTTGTGACATCTCTAGACACTTCCTTCCATTGTGCCAAGACCATACTACTTTATCATACACCACCACTAAACCACAACAGACAGCTTTCAGTGTGCACGGCCAGATTATAATACAAGAAACTGTTAAATCTAGGTCTTACAAAGAGAACTTAAGACATTTTAAACATACATCAGATTCATACTTACTGGCATTTCTAGTCAAAAAGTTTACAAGAAAAACACTTCATTTACATCCAGGTCCCCATTTTCTCTGAGACTTGCTTTATAATAACTGTAATTGTTGCTAGATATGTTCTGTACCACAGTGACCATCCTGATAGTTTTCACTTCTGACCATCCTCTGCATGTCTGTGTCAGTTATATTTACATACATGAATCAAACACCAAGTATCACTAAACTGTGGTTAAGGAGAAACAGAATTTTTCCATCTTGGTGAAGCACCTCTCAAGTGGTTGAGGAAACTGGTGTTGGGCACACTTAACTATATCCTTGCAACTTACACAAAGCCTCTGTTGTTTATATTTTTAGTGATTAGCTATATTGTAAATTGAGTATCACTACTAGCAAGGCACCCTAAGACTTTTTTTACAACTTTTCAAAGATTTAAATAACCTCATAAAATGTGGATTTTTATTTACAGTACTAGAATAAGATTGTTGGAGGAATAAAATAAATACATAACAATATTGTTTTATACAAACAACTCCAGGCTTAACACTTTTTTTAACCCCTAATACCACCCTGGTTGTTTGGTAAAACACAATCATTGTACTGCAGCTCTCAGTAAGAGACACAACATACACTTAATTTTTGCTTTTTTGCAGAAATTTGATTCAGCTTCAAAGCAGCCAGTGTGAGGGCAGTGAAAACGGCCCTGTTACCATGCTGCTCAAGTTGTGACATTATGAGTAGTCCACAGTATTCCCTGTCTATCATATTTTATAGTGGTGGACAATGTTCTGTTTATTCAAATGTGATGGGACCTGTACTCACCCCCATGCATACTGTATATATGCTGAAAGAGAGGAACAAAAAAAGAGGCATATGACAGTTTAAATTCAAAAGATTTACCCAACACCTTCTTTGCTAAAACAGACCCCCCCCCCCCCCCCCCCCACACACACACACACACAAAAGCTGTATACACACAGATTCAGCACAGTGAAATATTTCTTCAAATACTGAACATTACAGATTTTCATAACCATAGGCACTAGAAATGGGAACTACCAGGCATTCTATTGACTTCTTCAAAAACTCCCCAGTGATATTACAACAAATTGACATAAGAATGAGAAAGTTGAAGGGATTTCTTTTCAACATAAAAACAAAGCCCCAGACATAAAATCAATCCACTCACAATTCCAATCTAATAAGTTTGGCATTAAAGCATTATGTGTCTGGCAAAATATTTTGTACAATAACCAACAGATACTTAGATACTAAATAACATAAACCAGAAGACACCAGGCAAGGAGATTCTGGAAAGGCACCTGGATTGCCCAATTCAGATGACGTTTCATGTTTGATAACTCTTATTTCTCTCCCCCTCCCTTCCTCCTCCAATCTTCTATCACTTTCTCCTGCTATTTCACATTTCATCTTGTCCTACAATTCTCCCTCTCATACCAGTCTCTCTACACTTTATTAATATACAAAAACTTAAACAGGGCTGCTCCAACCCACCCTTTCTTCATGTGCCAGCCCAAATCTGAATTATAATAACATGATGGAGTATAAGTGCAAAATTCATCAATAACAAAAGAGAAAGAGGAAATCGAGTCACTGCTGTCGGATGAATTAGAAACCTTTGTTGAATTCTCCTCTTCTGGCAACCAAAATTGATCATACAACAATGTTTTATCATACACGGACAGAGAAAATCAATTCTTTTCACTGACAAAGCAAGCTGCTTAGGCTAACTTTGAATAAAATGAAGCCTTATTTTCTTGATTTTTCAAATATAACTCTAAACTTGTTTCATTTGTATATTTTTCCAAACTGCATATGTAAACAATAAATAGGAAGAAGAAATTGAATTTTTCTTCTACATATTTTCAACAGTAACATTTAAAATGGATTTCATCCTCTTTCATATATCAGGCCCATAGCCAGCATTTCTTGGTTCACTTTGACAAAGGTTCGCTATGACAAAAGTCCACTATGCCTAAGATTTGTTATATCAAAATACGTGTACAGGTAAAGACAACAAACAAAGTATAGTAAACAAGTGCTATTTATGAAGTGCTGTGCACAGTGTTAGAAATTAAGGCTGGACAACTTTCAGAACGGGCTGAGAAGTTTTCCCACCCGGCAGACATTCGAGCCAGCTACTTCTCAAGATGGCTGAACTTTCGGTCCAGCAACTAATTTTCCTAAGAGGCAAACACTGGCTGTGCGTTAACATCCACATTTCTTTGGAATACCCAACCTTTGTCACAAAAAACCCTTCCGAATACCAAACCATGTGCATTTGGTGTAGCTGGCCTTTATCATAGTGACTCCTAGATTTTAGAGGTAAAAAATATTAGCCGTTGCTATAAACAAATTTAATGGACCTTCCTCATAAAGAACCTTCATTACATAGAGCTGACCCTGCAATGTCAAAGTGTCTTTTTAGGAGAAAGTGGACCTTTTACCATGAAACCTTTGTGTTCCTAAGTCACATTTTACCCAGAGTGGACTATTTCCCATCAAAAGTGGTGCTTTGTTTTGACCCCCCCCCTCCCAACCCTGCATAAAGGCATGTGTGTGTGTGTATGTGTGTGTGTGTGTGTGTGTGTGTGTTCATGTTCCTAGTGATAACTTTTCTCTACAACTTCTTTTTTTGGGATGTGCATCTTAATGTAAAAGGAGTGGACACTTATACATAGCCAAGCTTTAGTTGCCACCCTGCCAATATTGATAGTTTTATCACATTTGTTCTCTTTCTTACAGGAAATCTTGAACAGTCTATAAAAGCATAATTTATCACATATAATTTACTGAATGTGGCACAAAGGATAAGAACACTTAGTGATGAACATAGAAATATAGGAGGGTAAATAATGTGTACGATATTCTCTGCAAGAAAACAGAACCCTAGGAAATGAAATTTTCACCCAATTTAAGGCATCAATTATACAGAATGAGACTGAGGGGAAATGAACAGAGTTTAAGCATACAACTGATAAAGAGCTCCTCTGACTGTTTTGTTCATCAAAGTACTCTTTTTAAATTCAGTATTGATTATTTGTAAAAGTCTGTCTGTGTTGCGAGCAAGCTAGCAGTCGCACCTTGGAATCCCCTGCACCATAATAATAAGTACTAACAAACAAAGCACAGAAGTTCAAAAACACTGAGAACATCCTTGTATATTCCAAGGGTACTCCACTGTGTAATTGAACTTAGAGGTGCTATTGAACTGAACTTGAAAATCAATCAAAGGCAAACCTCAGTCTTCTAGAACAAAGCAGAAATGAAAATCCATGGTGTGCATTCACCAGAGCACAAAGTGAAGTTAATCGTGGATGTTTATGTATGGGTGTTCAAACAACCTAACTTCAAAATAATGTGCCGCAAATGAAAGCAAATTGCAAGCAATTTTTCAAATTACCATGAAAAGCTATCGTTTGCAGAAATACAAGCACCATAATTGTCTCTGAGAAGTTATTGCATTTTGCTCCCACTTGAGCAAATTGGGGGTTATGCATGAAACAGAGTAGCACAGACCCAACATTAAAACGATTACTGCCATATCAACTCTGATCCGACTTAACTGAACGTGAAAGTTATCTCTTCCCACAGATATGATTGAGAAAAACAGCAAACAGCACATATTTTTAGAAAGTCATCAATGAGAGCTGTACCTATGGCTTTAAACCCAGTAGCCCTACTGACCTTACCTTGAGTTTGAATCGCTCGTTAAAAACTGCATGGTTATTGCTGCGACTACTACGGAGAAGAGGAAACAGC